TTGTTTATTTGATCCATTCTTACTTGATTCTTCATCTCTCCACCAAACTGCATTTTTTAAGCAAAATCTGCCATGAACATACCAAATCTCATTCCAATTTCCAAATGCTTATTTTCTAAGTTATAACTCATTCATTTCTACATTTATGGTATGTGTGTGTTCTGTTTGTCAACATGAGACCACTTGATCACAGCTAGACCATGTTTGTACCATTCTGCTGCAACTGTTTTGAAAACCAGCTGCACAGACTTCCTAGTTTTCTGTTTGAATGATGTTAGTTTATTCCATGAAGTATTGGTGCCTCTAGATAATGTTTAGGATTTTGTTTGTACATGAACCAACAGCTTTGAGTATGCTATGCTCTTCTGCCTAAACTGCTTCATACATGTTTGATACAATTGTAGCATGATAGTCATTTTCTTGTTATGTGCATTTCATGGCCATCTTAAGTGATAGACTCGTCTATGATCATATTTGAGACTTGTATGTAGCATTTTCCTAACCTCAATCTGTCTCCAATCCAGTTTTGATTCCAATATTGTAATTTTATGAGTGATTGAGCAGCTGACTTGTGATTTTCATTTCCATGATGTTTGTGAATATTTTTGAAGTATGGACACACCTTATATGATGTTTTGAGGATGTTTGAAGGGTCTGTTCATTTCAATTTTGTCTGCTTCTTGATTTGACTTTCAAACTTGCACTTTTCTCCAATTTTCACTTGGCATAACAGTTGTGCTTTGGTGTGTAATCTTGGCATTATGATCTTCTTGTTTATCATTGCATTCTAGATGTTTTAAACTTCATGCTTATTTTGATTCTGTTCTGATAAAGGTGTTGTTCCATTCATGTTTGGTGTGTTGTTTATGCAGCAGGCCCCTTTGTTTGTGGCCTGCAGTTGGCTGTTATTGCTGGCCAGCCACAGATCCTCCCATCTCCACAGTTGGATTAGCCACATTTGTGTAGGATTAATTGTTTATCTGTGTTATTTGTCAACAATCTGTTTGTGATTTGAAGGCCATTTTTATCATTGTGTTTTTGAAGGCAAATTCCCAATTGTACCAAGTTTCATACATTTTTCACAAGTTCATTAATATAATGCCATGCCATCCATACTCTTCTACCTGAACATTTGTGATCATCATCATTTAGCATGTTTAGAGATGTTAGGTTTTGTATGTGTATTGATTTGGAATCTTCCCATCTGTCTTGACAGTTGCTGCATTTTCATGATTTCACTTGCAACTCATGTGCCATTTCCTATTCTACTAGTTCATGTTTGAGCCTTAAGTGATCATTACTTCTGTTATGGTATATATGTCTTGTATGCAATGCCTTTTACATGTATGTGAACTCAGATTGGGTGGTAGTTTTCAAAATGCAACTCAAATGTAAATCTTGCATCTTGCATCGTGTTTTTAGTTGGAGGCTTTATTTCAAAATTTCATTGGCACTATCATGATCCTTGTTAAAAAAACAGTCTAGTTAGGCTAAAATATCATAAAAAAAGATTAAGTATTGACATAGTTATGAATCAAAACGCATGTGGCATCTTTACTTGTTCTTGCTTCCTTCAACTTGCCCAGAAATCCATGAAAATATGCCATATATATTTATGGGGGTAGCTAAATACATGGATGTATAGCCACCCCAGTGGTAGAAACCTCACTTTCTCATGCGCCTTTCACTTGCCGGTCCAGGGTTCGATCCGTGTGGAGGTCAACACTTTTGTTTTTATTTTCATGTCTTATCATTCTTTTCATCTTATCTACTCCCTTGCCAGCGCGCGCGTGCATGCCTCAGTGGTTGAGTTTGTTGTTTGTAAAATGAAGGGCGTGGGTACTCCCACCCTTGCCCTTTTCTTTTGTTATTTTTACATGATATATTTATTATTCATACAAAACTTCCAAAAATTATAACTTGTTCATCTTTCATCTTTTTTAACTCATTCTTTTTGCAATATGTTTAATTTAATGTCTAATTTCATATGATGCAAAAATATTACAAATTGTTCATAATTATGATACCTTTTGTCTATGTGAAATTTTGATTCTTTGTTAAGATCGTTATCTCGCATATTGTCGAATTCCTTTAAACCACGCTTGAATTGTCTTGTAAAATTGTGCTTGTGATTATTTCCCATATGTTAGTTAACATGTTAGGGCTTGTTCTCCCTTGGTTGTCACCATGATCTCATGTTATTTTCCTCCTAAATTTGATTTTAAACTGTTATGACATGCTTACTTATATTTGATTGTCATCAATGCATATCGTTGTTACCTTTGATGCACCTTGAGTTATGGCATGTTTACCTTCAAGTTGTAACTTGTCTTACATGGTTGTTACCTTCAATCTTTGTTAAAATATACCTTTGTTAAGATATGCTTTCATCTTTGTCAATACATGCCTAGGTCTTTACCTTTTCTTTAAGTCTTGTAAGAACTCATCTTTGTTTGCCTATTGTAATATGCTTGCATGTTTTGGTTGTAACCATTCATCCTATTTTAAGTACTTGCTTATTGTAATATTCTTGTTTATTCTTGGTTGTAACCATGTCTCTTATATTCATCATGTTTGAATATTTTTGCTTTGTTAAGTATTTCTTCCCCAAGTGATGGAACTTTTTAGTTCTCATCCAAGTTGCCTCTCTCTCTCTCTCTCTCTCTCTCTCTCTCTCTCTCTCTCTCTCTCTCTCTCTCTCTCTCTCTCTCTCTCTCTCTCCTTCCAAAGGAAAAGTCTCTCCATTGACCCTTGTGTCATGGATAGTTCATTACCCTCTCCCTTGACTTTGTGAAGTCATCTTGAACCTTAGTATAAGCTATTAGACTTTGCTTTAAGTCTAGAATACCCACCTTCACTAGGAGTTTTCTTCAACTAGAACCCTAGGATAGAGTTTGTAAACTCTATGTAAGAATCATAATAATGATTACTTACTCCCCTCTTGAGTGTTTTAACATAGATCTAAAGAGTTTTGTGAAACTCTACACAAGCATTGTAATGTTTATTCCCCTTTGAACCTTGATCATAATCAAGTGTTCTTCAACCCTAGTGAGGTGAACTACGATTGCTCTGATTTTATCCTAGTTAGGATACGTAGGCAGAGGACGCGATGTCTTTGCAAGCAAACTTAGAAACTATCTTTAGGTTTTAACCTACACCCTTTTACCCAACCCCAAACCTTAGCAAACATTTACCAACTTAGCATGCAAATAAACAAAAGGTTCCTGTAGAGTACTACAGATGTTTAGGATGTGAAATACCTACCCTAGGCATAACCAACCCCTGATCCCCGAATCTCTTAGCGTTGTTGTTACATCGCGAAAAAGGTTTTTCTTTCTTTAGACCTTTCCTTTGGATAAATTAAAGTCCGATTGTGAATTTAAGAATTAAAGATTCAAGTTAATCAATAGCTTGGTATCACGATTCTCACCGCAACAGACATTCATAGCCTCAAATTATATTCTCCTCTATTCTGACTCCTATTAACTCTTCTGGTATTTCTGGCTCTTCCTCTTCCTCCTCTCCTTCTGCCTCCGGTTGACCTTCATCACCTCTTCCCAACACAGTTTCTTTGTATGATTTGGGGACTGCTTTTTCCACAGAGGGGTTATCTTCGTTATGATAGTAGCCTAGTTCATTATACACCTTAGGAGTTGATGATGACGGGTTAAATCCAGCAGTTCCTTCTTTGATACCTTAGGAGTAGATTATGAGCGAGAGGAACATGCGTTGTTCATATTGATACCACATACATATAAAGTCTTGATGTTGAGTATGCATCCATTGTTTTTTATATATAATATAATGATTATATTAATATTAGTGGTTGAGTTGAGAATATTTGTGTGGTTATTTGTGAATGACTTATGCGAAACTAATGTGGATGAGTTATGCGATTGTTGATGTTTGCTAAAGCTACGCTTGCATACTTTTGCACCATTATATATTTTGAGCGTATTTTCACCATTTTGTTGTTTGTGTGGTTTTGTTCTCCTTCTTGGGGGTACAGACAAACAGGTAGATGAGTAGTTGTTAGAAGATGAAGGATGGCGTTGAAGCTATTCTTCTCTTTCTGTTTTATGCGATATTTAGATTCCATTGGACGGACGAACGTTATATTTATTTATTATTGTTTTGATGTTGTTGATGTGATTATAAGACTTGTATCTCTTTATGTTATGTTTTATTGATATTAAAGGCATTATGCCAAAACCAAGTTTATATTTTAAAGAAAGTGTTATGAGACTTAATCATTTGTTAAGTTACCTTATTGATTTGTTTTTCGCTGCGATGAGCCTATGTAAAGGCGATCATGTGATGATATATGTTTGAGTGATTACATGTTTTATCTAATCCGTGTTACGGAGCAAGTTTATGTTATATCCGTATTGTTTATACTATTTACATGCTATACAGGGCCGTCTTTGAGAATGTGTAAGGCGAGTTACTACACAGAACCTCAAATTTGTCAGAGTTAAATTATAGTTAAATAAGACCTTATAAAATATTTGTCAAGTTAAATTGTAATTAAAAGATGGTCTCTATTTATTTTGTCTTTGCTAAACTATGACTAATCTACACAAAACTTTCAAAAAGTCGAGACAGCTCTGATTCTATAGTAACTATTTTATATAGAAATATTTGTAACATAATAATATATTTATTTTTTATATATAAATATTTGATTAGTGAAAAAAAAAACTAGCATTTCTTTAATTTTTATATTCAAATCATAATTTTTTTATAAGCATATTAAAGTATAAAGAAATTAATGCGTTTCAAATTCAATTTGAAAAGAATTTAATTGGTACACATATATAAGTTTCTATTAAATGTATCCATAGCAATTAACCTCATTTAAAAATATGATCAATAACAAAGACACAACGGTAAAATCCCCAAATGTTACGCACGCAAAGCTTGCTATATAAAGACGCATTCGAAACAACAAGGTGGTGAAAGGTGGTCTCTTTCACTTCCATTTTCAACATCAAAGACAAATGAAAAGACCACGAAAATCAAAGAAAATGGTTTGCAAGGAACAATGGATTACTGCTGAGTATTATCAACAAGAAAAAGAAGAAGATGAAAGAAAATGGATCACACACTATTGTAGTGATCATCAAATACTTTTGGTGGGTGATGGCGATTTCTCATTCTCCCTTTCCCTCGCTAAAGTTTTTGCTTCTGCTTCCAACATTGTTGCTTCTTCTCTCGACACATATGGTTTTTTCTCTCTCAAACTCTCTCTCTTCTAAACCCTTAATATGCATGGTTGTAACATCATTGTGTAGATTTAGGGTTTATGCTTTATCATTGGATGGTATGTACTACATAGTTGTTTTTACTTGCTGGTGTTTTATGGGTTTACTGAGTTTGAGACTAGTCAATGTGATTTTCTTTTGCTTTAGAACCATTGGGAATGAACTTCTCTAAAGTTTGTTCCTTTTCCTTGTTTGTTTATAGCTTTTAATCATTTTCATATTGTTCATAATTTGGATTGGGAATGAACTTCTCTAAAGTTTGTTCCTTTTCCTTGTTCGTTTATAGCTTTTAATCATTTTCATATTGTTCATAATTTGGGTTGGGAACGAACTTCTCTAAAGTTTGTTCCTTTTCCTTGTTTGTTTATAGCTTTTAATCATTTTCATATTGTTCATAATTTGGGGGAGTGCTGCATTATGCATTCTATAGCACCGCCACCTCTGAAAAAAATGGTCCTTTTACACTATGAGACACGTGATTACATTTACTTCATTTATTTTTTCAAATTATTATTAGTGTCAATATCCTTGCTTCCTAGGTGATGCTTCATGCATTGATGATGTATTTTGATTGCTTTGAGAAGTAGAGTATGTCAATGAACTTGGTTCTTTTTCCATCTTTTTTTTTTCTTCGTTTAATAGCTTATTTTTAATTTTTGTAGTACTTCTTTTACTTGGTTATTATTCATATATGATGTCATCTAGTTTTGAAGGTGCATGATTGTATTCCAAATATGAAAATCAAAATGATACTTGTTTACAAAATTCATACACTTGTGTTCAAAAACTAAATGATTTGGCCTTGGCTTGTCATCAATGTTCTTTTGTTCGTGTAGCCGAGGTTACCAAGAAGTACAAGAATGCAAAGTCAAATCTAGAAGAATTGCAGAAGCTGGGAGCATACTTGTTACATGGAGTTGATGCTACTCAAATGAAATTTCACCCGGATTTAAAAATGCGGAGGTTTGATCGCATTATATTCAACTTTCCTCATGCAGGCTTTCACGGGAAGGAAGATAACTTGATGATGATCAAGTGAGTTTTCTAGTAGAATTCAGTTTGATATCTAATTAATAATGTCTCGAGTACAAACACATATAACTGGCAATGAATCTGTTTGTGAGTGATAATATAAATCTACTTTTTTTTTCCGTTAAGCACGGGTTTCTACAGAATTGTAAATCTACCTTAGTAGTTTCATAGTTAAGGCTTTTAGAATGAACCTTTTCTTGTGAATTTTTAGGATGCATATGGATCTTGTGTTTGGTTTCTTCAAGAATGCAAGTCACATGCTTAGGGTCAATGGCGAAGTTCATGTCAATCACAAAACTACTCCTCCTTTTGATACCTGGAACATAGAGAAGCTCGCCGAACAAAGCTTTCTGATGATGGTCGAGTGTGCTGATTTCAAGCAAGAAGCTTATCCTGGTTATAATAATAAGAGAGGTCATAGGTCTCGGTGTGATGACCCGTTTCCTCTTGGTAAGTGCAGCACTTTCAAGTTTATATACAATCCTAGAAGTATGAAAGACCATTTGAGGAGAACTCATGTGGAGGTTTCCAGACAGCAAGAGATTCACAACATGGAGCAAATTCCAGCTCCAGTTGTTTGCAACTATCATCCTCAAACAGTTCTCGTTCAACAACCGAATCAACTTGGTTACTACCCTCAGACAAGTATCTTTCCAAAAACAGATCAATTCTATCATTATTCTCAGACAAATCTCTTTCCAAAAACAAATGAACCGATGAGATCAGAATTTGACTTGAGAAATGGATACCATACAATCACAAACAATGTGACAGAAATGCATGGAAGAGTTGCTTCTTCTGCTGACTATTATCATTATGCTCAAAGATTGCTACAACCACCAATGGAGTCAAGTTACAACCAATTTTCACAACAGTGGCCGATACCAACTAATTGTAGACTTTGTTTTATGGAACACCATAGAAGAACAATGGATGTTGCTCCTTCCATGCCACTTGGTGCTAGAAATGATGGCTACTACCAATATCAACAAGTCTATGAAAGAAGCTCAACATACTTGCAAGAGAACAAGTTATTGTTATGGTATAGCAAGGCATGACTTGGAGAGGTACAGTGCTGAAGTGCCTAGGAGAGATTTTGGTAGAGAAACTATGTCATGCAATGAGTGTGTTCATGCTGCATAGAAGGATGATGATGTTGTCACATGGATACTATTGCTAGATAGAGTTTTGAAACTGATGATTTTGTTATCAACATATTCAGTTTATGTTATAAGAAATTAATCTTTTTTAGTTAAATGATCAAAAGAATTGATCAAGTTGACATGTTTATTGATCATTAGTTTTTTTTTTTATTTCCTATTTTAATATCTCATATTATTTGTTGGATATACACGTGTTAGAGTAACACCTCACCTTTACCATGTACTTTTTTATTTGAAAATTTTGTATCCAGTCTTGAAGCTGATTAATCCAACTATCAATTTTACCGCCCAGTAGTGATGTTGGCATTTGATGTGTGAAATTATGGGGAGAGGATTCACTATCTATAGTGGTTATATGATTAGACAGAGATATAGAGAAAGTCAACAAAAACACCATCTTTCAATATTTCAATGAAGGATATTAATAATAAAAAAATGTATAGAATAAAAAAAAGTAAAGAGGTTTCTTTCCATAACTTAGACCGTTTTTATTTTCTTATTTTCTTTGTGGTACTTATAGATCATATATATATTTATAGATTATACACAGTTGAATCTAAGTCATGTCAAAGAATAAACAGAATTATTTGGCATGATCTATGGTAGACCAATACTTGAAAATAGTATGAGCAATAATGTTCTTTTATATACGAGTCAAACCATTTTCATTGAATGGAGTGAACTCATTGTTGTTTTGTTATATTATTGAAGAGACATTATTTCTGAAAATGATAAACTTTTGGACAAATAAAATCTAAACTGTTTTCATTATCCTTGTGCTAGACAGTCTACTGTAGGATCTACATATCCTTTTCATATGAGCCAAAAATAATGTATCCAATAATTGCAGAAGTAGAAGCCATACACAATTATTTTAGACAATAATTGAAGGGAATAATTGAAGTAATAGACAATAATTGCTGAAGTAAAAGTCGTAGACAATGTTCCTCGTTAAGACAACTCAGTTGATAGTTGTATAGGAACATCAAGTGCAAAGATGCAAATTTGAATTCGTGACATCATATTTGTTAATATTTAATGAGGTGGATTCTAGCCATTAAGTTACTTAATAAAAAACGAAGTTATAGACAATAATTGAAAGAAATGAATAAGAGAATTGGTTATTCTATCAATTAGGGGTTTTAAGACCGTCTTCGCAACCTTTAAAGACGCGACCGATCAAATGGATTGTGTCCAGGTACTCGGGTTCCCCAATTAAAGTTGGACCCAAAGAAAGTGGTCTAGGATGTTGCTATAGTCGGAGATAATGGACACCCAGGGGTCATGATGAATAATTTTCATATATTGATTCAGCATGCATGTCTTTGTTGCTCTTTTAGGCTTTGTAGTGATATTGTTATATTAATTAAACTTCTTTCCTTCTAATGTTATGCTTGCTTTTGAGTTGCTTTTTTTTTCCTTCATTGATCTGTATGCCTTTGGCCTTGATATCTCTTGAGTATATTTTGCTTCACACTTTCTCTCTATTGGAAATTGGATAAGCATGCTACGTTTTGGTTCAGCTGTCCTATTTGTAGAGAACTAGGGTGATCTTTTGAGTTTCATTATTACATGTCTCATTCGTCGGGAGCTGGTGTAATTTTTTAGGGTCGCTGGGACTGTCCCTGGCAAAGATTTGGGTCTCCTTCCCAGCCACCAAGTTTGAGCTTAGTTCAAGGATGACGTCTCCAAACTCCACCGCCTACGTCCTTGTTGCGACTTAATGCATTTTTTTACCCTGCTTTTGAAGGAGGTAACTTTCACCATTTTGATAGAAAATATAATGTTATTAATATCAAATAATGTTATATCAAAATAAATCAATCTCTTAATTTCTTTTAAAGATAGTTAGCCTGAATATTGTTTAGACCCCACAACTTAGGGTAGACTCTTGGCCAAGGTCTTTGATGATGCACCCCACTATTGGGATCACTTTCATCTAAATCTATGTGGATACTTATACGACTTATCATCCTTAAAAATTGGGTTAACATTGAATAATCTTCAAATCACTTCTATCATTATTTTGGTTCCTTTTGAAGTTGTCACATTTTGGCTAAATTACATACAAACATTAAAGATCGATAACCTTGAATAACTGACCATGCTTAGGTGAGTGAAGAGGTTGGACTTCAATGTTAAGCATTTTTCTCCATGATCGAGATTGGGAGGTTAGTTTCTATCTTGGGCAATGTTGGTTTGATGTCTAAGCCTAGCCCTGAGACATTTGTCTTGTCATTGGCACGTGAACTATTCTTATCACAATGTTGGGTTCTATTTTTCTTGGTTGTTTAAGTTGACTATGTCGACCTATCTATGAACCTTCTCGAACCTTGCCCCTTCTTTTAGAATCAATATTTTGGTCAACCTCAATTTCGTGCCACTGCGACTATGAGGTATTCTCCACTTTAGATGTGGGAATTCTCACAACTTTGTCCTTTACAAAAGACGCGTCGTTCTGTATGGGATAAAAATGGTGATGACTATCTCTTTGTACTCACTTGTGAAACTCTTTCATTGGTGGATTGGGGGTGACACCGTGTCTAGCATCGTTAGTCACATACCACCTTACAGCGTCAACGATAAATTCCTTGAGGGGATAGCGACGAAGCACACATTTACAGTTCTTTCATATTCATACGTCCCCGAACATCAATAAGTGCATTGAATCACCAGAATTTCCGTTGTCGCCTGTAATTTTGATTATGGTGGAGCTCATGACTTTCAAGAATGTTGCACTAAGAATCATGTCGATCTTTTTATTCTCTTAGAATATTTGACCTCATTTTTTGATCACCTTGTTTCTTGTTCTGCTATGCCAATTAAAGAAAGTTTAGTTAGGAAAACCCCTTTTTACATGGTGATTTTCTTTCTGCCTCGTCAACAACATGAATAAAAAGTCTGGTCAGAATATTTTAAGAAATTTTCAACGTGACAAGATATATGATCTTTTACATCTCAGCAAACTGAATTTTAGATCAGACACGATTTGATCGTGGAAGTTTGAGAGAATCGAAAGTCAATTCCCACAAACGGTGTCACTATTCTAGATCAGAGCCATATTTAGGTGTAAATTGAGGTAGCAGACTTCTGATGTGGTGATGCAACTCTTTGAGGCATTTGAATGTGGAGGAGTATATGCAAGGTTAGACTCTAATGTCTAAGTCAGTGAGTGAGTCTAAAAAGAGGCAGAGTGAAGTATGAAAAGTGAGTGTATCTTAAGCCTTACGCATGTCTGTGTAAGGGTATTTGGTTCACAATTCCCTTATATGCTTAAATCATAACTTAAAACCTAAAGTTATTGTGATATCTGAATCTATGGACTTGTCCATTATGGATTTGTCTATTATGCTTGATAAATTACATGAACATGATATTAAACTGGATTAACTTGATGAAAGCGAAGAAGGCGATAAGAAAAAGAAAAGACTTGCATTAAACGTTGTAGAGGCTAAAGATATGGAGTAAAAAAAAGAAAATTGTCAAGATGATAGTGAATAAGACATGGATCTTCTAAGTTGCAAATTCAAAAAATTCATGAGGCATGAAAAAATCTCAAACTTAGAAAGATCACCCTTCATTCCAACACGCTTCTATGTCCGGGAAAAATTTCACATAACCCACCAACGACGAATAGGTGAAAGTGCAACAACATGGTTTTACCGAACATTAGGACCCCTTAAAAATCTCCAAATTGTGAGAAATTAGATCGACTTGCTGAAAGCGAAGAAGGCGATAAGAAAACGAAGAGACTTGCACTAAAAGTTGTAGAGGACAAAGACACGGAGTCAGAAAAATAAAGTTGTCAAGATGATAGTGATGAAGACATGGATCTTTTAATTCGAAAATTCAAAATTTTCATGAGGCACGAAAAAAAAACCAAACTTTCAAAATAAAAGTGAGAAACGTTTGACGTGCATGACACATACCTTGGACACTTTAGAAAAATCTAAGATAGGCTAGTTATGACAACCTATATCTCCTCCGTCATATTTCACTAAAGGTCACACCGACGGTCTTTGACTAGAGAAAAATAATTCCATCCAAACTATATGGAGTCTCAAAACAAAGTAATTACCTAGCTATTGTGGACCGAGACTTAAAATTCCTACACGAAACTCATGAAAATCAACCAACTACAGAATAAACACACTCTAAAATAATATATGATCTCATCTGAATGACCTTTTACAATCCATTAGATACTGATATTCACATGATCTCATGGAACATGTCCTATAAGACAATTATTTTAAAGAAAGTTTTACATTCGTTAAACCCTAAACCTAATTATAATTGCTAGTGAATGACTCATACTCAAAGTGCATTATATTCTAAAATCATAAACACTCAATGTATTTACATAGTATTATATTTTAGTTTTAACCATATATTTAATTTTTATATAAATATTTGATTAGTGAAAAAAAAAACTCTAGCATTTTTCTACTTTTTATTTCCAAATCATAAAAGTTTATTCATGCATTTTAAACCCAAAATGAAAATGATGATCAATGACAAACACACTACAGTGAACGCAAAGCTTGCTATATAAAAACGCATTATAAACAACAAGGTGGTGAAATGTCAAAGAAAAAAAATGAAAAGACCACGAAAATCAAAGCGAAGGGTTCGCAAAAAACAGTTGATTACTGAGTATCATCAACAAGAAAAAGAAGAAGATGAGAGAGAGTTTCCAAAATGGATTACACATTATTGTAGTGATCATCAAATACTTTTGGTGGGTGATGGCGATTTCTCATTCTCCCTTTCCCTCGCTAAAGCTTTTGCTTCTGCTTCCAACATTGTTGCTTCTTCTCTCGACACATATGGTTTACTCTCTCTCTTCTAAACCCTTAATGTGCATGTTTGTAACATCATTGTGTAGATTTAGGGTTTATGCTTTATCATTGAATGTTGTGTCACCATTCATTCATGTGCTACATGCTTGTTTTTACTTGGTCTTTTATGAACAATCTAGCACAAACACCTCGAAAAAATGTGTATGTGTCGGTGTCCGTAGTCGACAGTGTCTTTCTGGTGTCAGGTGTCTGTGCTTCATAGTTTATGAGTCTAATGTGCTTCATAGTTTATGAGTTTGAGACTAATCAATGTTATTTACTTTTGTTAATTTGGTCTTTTATTTTGCTTTAAAATCATTAGGAATGAGCTTCTCCAAATTTGTCCTTTTTCCTTGTTTGCTTAAAGCTTTTAATCATTTTCCTATTGTTTGTAATTTGGGGGAGTGCTTTGTGATGCACTCTGTAGCACCAACACCTTTGAAAAAAGGTATGTTCGTGCCCGAAACCAACACATGTGATCACGTTTAATTCATTTATTTTTTTCAAATTATTATCAATGTCAACGTGTCAGTGTCGCTGTTGTGTTTCCGGTGTCCTTTCTTCATAGGTGATGCTTGATGCATTGATGATGTATTTTGCTTGCTGTGAGAAGTAGAGTATGTCAATGAACTTGGGTTCTTTTTCCATCTTTATTTCTTTGATTAATAGCTTATTTTTAATTTTTGTAGTACTTCTTTTACTTGGTTATTATTCATATATGATGTCATCTAGTTTTGAAGTTGCATGATTGTATTCCAAATATGAAAATCAAAATGGTACATGTTTACAAAATTCATAGACTTGTGTTCAAAAACTAAATGCTATATCAGTTTGTATCTACCAATTTTTACCACATTGCACTGCAAAATTGAAATGCATTGGCCTTGGTTTTGTCATCAATGCTCTTCTGTTCATGTAGACGAGGTTATCAAGAAGTACAAGAATGCAAAGTCAAATTTAGAAGAATTGCAGAAGCTTGGAGCATACTTGTTACATGGAGTTGATGCTACCCAAATGAAATTTCATCCAGATTTAAAAATGCGAAGGTTTGATCGCATTATATTCAACTTTCCTCATGCAGGCTTTCACAGGAAGGAAGGTGACTTCATAATGATCAAGTTAGTTTTCTAGTAGAATTCAGTTTAATGACTTTTAGAATCGTTAGTTTTCATATTCGGAAATGCTGTAATAGTTGTCATAGTTAAGGCTTTCAGAATGAAACTTTTATTAACAATACTATGTGATTTGTGTTTTCTTGTGAACTTTTAGGATGCATATGGATCTTGTGTTTGGATTCTTCAAGAATGCAAGTCACATGCTTAGGATTAATGGTGAAGTTCATATCAATCACAAAACTACTCCCCCTTTTGATACCTGGAACATAGTGAAGCTCGCCGAGCAAAGCTTTCTGATGATGATCGGGTGTGCTGATTTCAAGCAAGAAGATTATCCAGGTTATAACAATAAGCGAGGTCATAAATCTCGATGCGATGACTCGTTTCCTCTTGGTAAGTGCAGCACTTTCAAGTTTATATATAATCCTAGAAGTATGAAAGACCATTTAAGGAGAAATCATATGGAGGTTTCTAGACAGCAGATAACAACAAATCTTCCATTTGAAGAGATTCAGAACACGGAGCGATTTCCAGCTCCAGTTGATTCCAGTTATCATCCTCGAACAAGATTTCCATTTATAGAGATTCAGAACACAAAGCGATTTCCAGCTCCAGTTGATTCCAATTATCATCTTCAAACAAGACTTCCATTTGAAGAGATTCACAACATGGAGCGATTTCCACCTCCAGTTGGTTCCAATTATCATCCTCAAACAAGACTTCCATTTGAAGAGATTCACAACATGGAGCGAATTCCAGCTCCTGTTGATCTCAATTATCATCCTCGAGCAAGTCTTGTTCAAAAGCCAAGTCAACTCAACTATTACCCTCAGACAAGTCCCTTTCCAAAAACAGATCAACTTGATCATTATCCTCAGACAAGTCTCTTTCCAAAAGCGAATCAACTCAATCATTTTCCTCAAAGAGTTGCTTCTTTTGCTGACTACTATCATTATGCTCGCGATACGACACAGGACACTCAAAGATTGCTACAACCACCAATGGAGTCAAGTTACAACCAATTTTCACAACAGTGGCCGATTCCAACTAGTCGTAGGCTTTGTTTGACAGAACACCATAGAAGAACAATGGATGTTGCTCCTTCCATGCCACTTGGTGCTAGAAGTGATGGCTACCATCAATATCAACAAGTATTAGAAAGAAGCTCAACATATTTGCAAGAAGAACTTTATGGAAATGCTCAGAGGTCAAGTGATTGTTATGATATAGCAAGACATGACTTGGAGAGGTACAATGCTGAAGTGCCTAGGAGAGGTTTATTAGAGAAATATATGATACGCAGCGAGTATGTTGATGCTGCATAGAAGGATAATATTTTGTTACATACTATAGGTAAATGGAGTTGGGAAACTGGTAATTTTGTTATCAACATATTTAGTTTATGTTGATCTTTGGCAGGATCATATTATGCTATAAGAAATTAATCTTTTTTAGTTAAATGATCAAAAGAATTGATCAAGTTGACAGGTTCATTGATCATTAGTCTTTTTATTTCCTATTTTAAAACTCCATTTGTTATTTGTCGAATATACAAGTGTTAAATGGCGTAACACCTTACGTTTGCCATGTATTGAATTAATTAATTAATTAATGTCATATGTGGTTGTTTGATGTGTGAAATAATAGGGCACCAAAGCACTATAAATAAAAATAAAATTTTAGTGGCCACTTAGAAAATAACATTACATAACATTTTCTGTAAAAAATTTACAAGATACAGAAAATCAAATTACAAGTTTTAAGTTTTAATTTATTTATAGGATTAAATTCGGGAAAAAATTTTTAGGATATATTGTGCAAGAATGTTTGTGAGAATATATTTGTGCTCGATAACTTAGTGTTTGAATGTAAAACAATTAGAGTATAATTACTTGAATAAATAAAGTAAATGAAGGAAAGTAAGTAAAAGTGGTTGAATTAAAAGTAAGATGCAAAATTAGACCTTTCTCATAAATCCTTTTATCTGAAATTGAGATGATTGAGTTTTATAGAGAATAATAATGAAAAATGCAAACTCTTGTTACAGAGATTAAATTGACTTATATACATGTACATCAGTAATCGTTGACAACTGTCAACTTTTTAGAAATCGACACGTACACCATTATGTGGCATTTTGTACTCTACAATACTTCTATGTGTCTTTGGTCTTTGAACTGCTGCAAAACTGCTAATGTTGTCGAAAGAACATCTCCAGGTCTCTTAACTTCCTTTGTCGAGTTTTAGATCTTCCAATTGTCTCTGTCGAAAATCCTCTATGTCGGACCTTGTGACTTTGGTATCAGAAACATGATTTAGCTATCTATACTTAGCAGGTATATTATCTCACCTCCACTTTTGTCAAACATATTGGGTTGAAAATTTCAGGCAAATAGATGCCCCCCAAAAATGAAACTTTCGATCATGTTTGTAATATCGAAGAAAGGTGGCGTTTTTAGTACACTTTCGACACTGTTCAAAGTAGTTTGCATACGTCACCATCATCATGACCACTTTCACGTAACCGTTGTGTCAATGGTTGTGCATGCAACTACATCATGGTTCTAACTTCCAAGGCCATTGTGGACCACAAGATTTAACTGTATTAAAATATAAAGAAAAACATTAATTAAAAACTTTAAAACAAAAATCAAAACGCCACTTGTTTTGACTTCAGAGGAAAACTAAAGAGTCTCTTTTCATACGACTATATATATATACCCTCTTCTCCTTCTTCCTTCCTTTTCACAACATTGTTTTGTTTTCTGAAACCTAAGAGCTTTTGTTTTCTTACAACTTTCATTTTATCACACTTTTTCCACTCAAGTTTTAAGAACAACAACTTCTTCTTCTGCCATGAAAAAGTAACTCTCACTTCCTTCTGTTGTTGATCTTCAATGACACATCCTCACCAAAAATCGTAGCTACATTTCAAAACCTCTAATGGAGAAAGAGAAAAGTGCCATTTCGGTTTCCTTGGTATTAATCCCTTTTTCTCTTATAGGTATTGCTCACGCGTTTCTGGGTCATTTACCCAAATTACCTATGAAACCAAACAAACTGGAAACATTCTTCCCATGTTCACCATCAACCAAACCTCGTGCGTTCAAAGACAGAAGCTTTGAGTTGGGTTTTATGAAACATCCAAATCATGTGTTCTGTTCTTCTCCTTCTACCAACATTGATAAGGTATTTTTTTTACTTGATTCAATAATAAAAAAATTGGCCACAGGTATAACCCTGACATGCTTATATCTGCCATCTGTTTTTGGGAGTCTTCGACTAATACTTTCCATTTACCATATGGAATAGTCACTCCCACTCTTTTCGACATTGCTGCTATAACTGATCTTTGACCAATTGGGGAAACTTTCGACCCCACTCTTAAACACCAGATCAAACCAAATTTTACTTTTGCCATCCTAGTTTTAGTAACTACAACAAAGACCATCTTGACAAAACTGAGGAAGTCTCTGACTATTAGCATATTTCTTTCCTAACTATGTGGCTATCTCATTTCATTTTTTGTTCTAGCTCCCTCCAAGTAGCCAAGAAATTTAAACCTCATGCAAATAAGATTCATGAGAAAAAGGATCCATGTCTTAGCAAACTTATCTTAGGCTTCCTTTATGAGTCTTTAGGAATTGCTTCTCATGACCTCAAAGAACGAAGAATCCCCGAGAATAAATTCCTGGTCTCTGGCCCTATCTGACTCTTACAATTATGGATTAACGTCACTTTTGAACCTTTTCTAAACATTGGCATTTTGTCTACTTTGGAGAGACAAGTCAAAGGTATAAGGCTCGATTTAATGACCCTAACTGACAGTAATATTTTGACTAAAAAAGCTTTTGAAAAGTATTTCTTCATGCTTAAGAACTGTAATGAATTTGTCTCGGCTATGACACCATTTTCCAGCCGAAGCTATGGCCAGAGTGGTTCGAAAGCACATTTCCAACTTCTTCACCTGGAATCCAAATTGAAGCTCTCGACATTTGGATGGAATTTTTCAAACCCATTGTCTTGTCGACTATAACTCCAACTATGAAAGTTGGCTTTGGACTCGTTGCATATCAACCAAATTTGGTGGCTCGATAATTTAACTTTAGTCAATTTCTGTCGAAATCTCTTTTCACCAAAGAAGACGAAGTATGTCTAGCTAGTGATACACCAAATGAAGCATATTATAAGGCGTGTTTAGACTTTCACTCTAAAAAAATCATTACTTTGAATCCCTTTGAATTCGAAAACTTCTTTCATTACATCAAAGAATTTTAAGAAGGGTGGTCTGCCTACTACAATTATGTTGTTGTAGACATTTCGACTTTACTCCAACATCTATTAGATGCTTTTTCCTATCTGCAGAATAAAAAGAAGAAAAGTTAAGGTATGCACATTAAAGAGATTTGAGCTTTTCAACATTACTTCGAAACTGTGTATAATCCCTGTCAAGTTAGTCGAATTATTTATGATGCATCTTCTACTTTGAAACAAAAAATCATTGAAAAAAATTTTCAACTACGTTTTCCTCCTTTATAAAGGTCTAATGTGATTTTACTTTAGAATTTCATCTTCCCAAATTCCCACCATTACCAACTTTTCAATTTGGCTAAGATTTTTGGCAGCCATTTACATACAAGTTACCTTGTGGGTATTTGTCAACTTTAAATAATGATTGAAGAACCCTGCCTAAAAAGTAGTTTTGACTAAGTACAATATGCATAATTTTTCACAGCCTTTAAGAAATGATCTTGATCACGTTCAAGTGGATATCCACCATCCAAGAAGGTGAAATAAAGAGATTTGTAAAAATCACTAACTCCACTTTATGTTTCCCTCTATTTACTTGTTTTGAAATCTTGCAACTCTCCCAAGGAAACTGAAGCATTCAAGGACAACAAAGAATCTAACCATCCCAAATAAGTAAAACAAGTATATTTTCTAAACCTTCGTCCACTTCTACGAAAATGGGTTTTATTTTATCCCACATTTCTCCATGTTCCTATTTTCAAAGTAAAAAACGAGGAAATGGTCCCACAACTACTACTCCAAGTCAAAAGAAAGCAAGGCAAAAACAAGTAATAGTCACTCTCGGCAGTGAAAGGACACATGGGGTTTAGATTAAACTCCAAACTTTATTACTATCTATTGCAGTGAGAATCAGATATCAAGCTATTGTATTAACTAGAATCACAAATCATAAAGTTCACCACCGAGATTTGATTTATCCAAAGGAAAGGGTAAAGATCGAAGAAAACCCTAAGTGTGCCATGTAACAACACAGCTAAGAGACCTAAGATTCGAGGGTTGGTTATACCTAGGGAAGGTGTTAGCACCCTAAGTATCTGTAGTACTCTACATGAACCTCTTGTTATTATTTGTGTCATGCTAAAGTTGCTTGCTAAGGGAAAAGTGCTAAGGTAAAGATCTAAAGTATATACAAAGTATGTACAAAGTTTGCTCGCCAAGACATCGCATATCGTGCCTACGTATCCTGACGGAAAGAGAATTAAAGCAACCGTGGTTCCCCCTTAAAAGGGGTGAGGAACTCTTGACTGTGGTAAAGGTTCCAAAGGGAAAGTAAATGTCTGCGGTGAGACACCTACATAGAGTGTGGCGACTCTAAACCTAAGGCTATGTTAAATGAGAAATGAAATGTTCATGGTAGGACACTCACATAGAGTACGGCGACTCTAATCCTAGGGTTATGATAAAGGATAAGGACCTAAAGTTAGGCTAAGTATGACATGGCAGTCAACTGGGAGATCCTTTCCTTTGGAATTAGGTAAAAGCAAACGAGGGACAAAGAGGTGAACCTCGAGTATCAAGTGTAAGATAAATAACAATATATAGTAAACGCTCAGGAAAATCAAACACTCATGAAATAGGACATCAGAATTTAATTATAGCCAAAAGCAAACGAGATTAGATCAAACATCAAGAATTAATAAAAATGTAGAAATGTCATGATAAATTTTAAAAAAGAAATCTAATTAAACTACATCTAATTAATTATAAATTCACTAAAAACTAATTAGACTAAGTTCTAAAAAGACTAGTTGAATTAAATTCTAATTACTAATTAAATTAAAATCTAAAAGAGACTAACTAAATTAAATTCTAATTACTAATTAAATTAAAATCTAAAAAAGACTAACTAAATTTTAATTACTAATCTAAAATCTAGCTAAAAAAACCTAAAATTATTTACACTTTATATTTATCGAATTAATAATTACACTAAAAATGAAAGTATTGAAATAAAAGATAAAATATTTTTGGGTTTTTTAAAATATCATATAAATTAAAATTTAAAACAATAATT